TGGAGAGAGACTAAAAACATTTCCCTTGCAAACAGGATAAGGGTTCCCTTTATCAACACTATTATTAAATATTATGCTGGAAGTGGAAACCACAGTTATAAGGTAATAATGGGAAATTCAAGGCATCCAAATCAGCAAAAAAGTAAGACTATTTATAGATTATATGACCCTACACTTAAGAAATCTCGAAGTCTCAGCAAGAAACTTTCTGGAACTACATAAAGATTCAGAAAAGTGGCAGGGTACAAAATCAATATACAGAACTCTGAATTGAAATCAGGAAAATAATACTACTACCCATAAGAGGTAGTTTTGAGAATGAATTTAACTAGAAAAACAAAATATTCTCAAATATTTGAGAATAAATTTAACTAGAGAAACAAAAGATGTATTCAAAGAAAAATATAAAACACTATTATAGGAAACCAAAAGAGATCTACACAAATGGAAGAATATGCCATGCTTATAGACAGGAATATTTAATAATATCAAAATATCAATACTACCAAAAGCAATCTAAAGCTAATAATACAAACCCAATCGCAATACTACCATCATTCTTCAAAGAGATGGTAAAATTAATCACCAACTTTATTGGAAAAGGAAAGAGATGCTAAAAAAGTAATCAAAAAACAAACTCCCTGCCATCTAGTTAATTATGACTCATAGTGACCCTATTAAAAAGGGTAGAACTGCACCTATGAGTTTTGGGGATTAACTTTTTACAGGATTAGAAGCCTTTGGCTGGTGGTTTCAAACTGCTGACCTTGTGGTTAGCAGCCCAACCAGTAACTACGACACCACCAGGGCTTCTGTCAATAAGTAAGGCACTACACTAAGTGGAACAAAGAGGAAGCTCCTTATTTCTTAATCTCAAAACCTACTACACAGCCACCATAGTGAAAACAGCCTAGTATTGGTACAATGACAGTCACAAACAGCAATGGAACAGAATTGAGAACCCAGAAGTAAATCCATCGACCTGGGCACAGCTGAACTTAGAGCCATTGAACCCGTTCAATGAGGAAGAGAGTTAATTTTATAATAACTTATTGACATTTTTTAATCATTTTATTCAGGGCTCATACAACTCTTATCACAATCCATACACACATCAATTGGTTAAAGCGCATTTGTACATTCATTGCCCTCATCATTCTCAAAACATTTCCTCTCCACTTAAACCCCTGGCATTAGGTCCTCATTTTTCCCC